ACCCGACTTTTGTATTTCGGTTCGGGTACGGGTCCAATTAAAATCCGCCCGGATCTGGACTTTGCGGAACACTAGTAACAGATATATCAGGTATATACGTACGTACGTAATTTAAAAGCAGATGACTAATATAAATATTATAGATTAGAAAACTATATGTCAAAATACGCATATCTCTGGTTGAATACAGAATTATGGTACTTTCAAAGCATCTTCGCTGGCAAATAGTTAAAAAAAATTTTAAAAGACTTATCAGTTCGAAAAATTGCCAAACACTTAGGTGTTAGTAAGTTTTTTACAAGTCGGGTTCTTAAGCACTTTCAAAGATATTGAAAAACTTCCATCACTTTCAAGAAAACCACATTTATTAAACACGAACGATATAAAATATCTTAAAACTTTAATGAAAGAAAACCTGACTGTTATTTGTATGAATTGCAATCCGAAATGGAACTTTAATTGGGATATAAAATTAGTCGTATAACAATTTAAAAAGGTTTACATTCGATTTAGATATACACATAAGAAAGTATTTTTACTATATATATATATCGATATATATTTTTTATTGATAAATTTATACCCGTGCCTTTTTATATTTCTTATTAAGGTTTATTGGTTGACAAGAATAATTTTATCATAAGTATTCGTTCAAACATAAATTTAGTAACGTCGAATGTGTCGACATTGTCACGGGGTTAATTAGAGGTTGGTGTTCCCTCGAAATATCTAGATCGGGCGCGCAGAGCTTCGCTTTGGAACTTAAGGGAGGTGAACTTTGATCATTGCGCTTAGTACTACTTTATTTACTGTAAACTGTATACACTTGAACTTTATTTTATTTTCAAGGGGCAAACGTTATTATTTATTTATTTATTTATTTTCGGTACTAAAGGCAAAAACGATCCGCTTATCGAATTTTTCTTTTCCTATTTATATCGATCCTCTTTCCCATTGTATCACACAATATTCATGAGATTAATGAAATAAACTCCTTGTATTACACCTAACTATCATGCAAATTGTCACGCAATAACAAATTACTAATACTAATTAATTACATCGTTGATGTACCCTCGATCTCACCCTTCGACCGCCAACAGCAGAGACAGTGCCCGATCCAGAGTGAATCCCTCTCTCCTGTGATCAATCACAAATTAAATTATTTATATTGTGATGGATATAATCCCTCACCAGTTTTAATATATGTGTACATTAACGGTCTCTGCTGTTTCGACCGCCTAATTACTCGATCCACAATCACCTGTTCCTAGGTCACGGGCATTGTGATACAATACGTGACAATATTATAAAGATAAAATTATCTGTAGAACAAGTACGATATTACATGTAATATAAAAATATATATTTTTTATATATCAGATCTTGTCGAAATCAATAACTTAACCGAATCGGCCGAAAAATCATTCAGCAAATTTTATCAGGTGTCCCAGGAATTATGATAATAGCTGTAATTAAATTACTAAATTCGGCTGATGTCAAAAACTTATCAATTCGGTCATTTTTCAAGTGTCGCAGAATTTAACAATTTCAAATATAGCGCCGATATCTCTTTATATAGGATAACGGTCTCTGCAATATCAGATATTCGCATATAGCGTTTAATATAAATTTACTTAGACCATGCGTATGCATGGTACATTCATGCCATCTCTACGTGGACTCACGGAATCAAAAAAAATGATCTGCAAAATTCATCGATCCAACTAAATCGAAAAGAGCGATAATATATTAATCTACATGACCTTGTAATATATAAAAACGAAATAAAATCATGCATTTTCAAAGCCTCGCGGAAACAAACGTTAATTCACTTTTTTGTCAAGATATAACGAAAATTAAGGTTTATACGCCTTTAATAGTAATCATTCTTAATAGCAACCATGAAATTAAAACTTTTTTTTATAATCTTATCCATAGTCGCCGTTCATATCGTAAATGCGTATCCTAATCACAAGCAATTGTATTCAATTAACTTAGCAAAAAGGTTTATTGCGGTCAATAACACAAATCCAATTGATATTGCAAAGAGTATAAGGGAAGGAGCCAAAAAGAAATATTCTAGCTATGAAGATCTTAATCCAACTTCGAACAATGAAAAATCCTCTAATGTAACAACTTCTAACTATGAAACATCTTCCGTAACAACAACATCCAACGAGAACACCAATGCACCTTATTTATAACAGATATGCAAAACGATATTGCCTATTATGTAGTAATCACTATTGGAAACCAAGAATTCAAAGTTATTTTAGATACCGGGTCTTCAGATCTCTGGATTCCAAATAAGGATTGTACATCAATTTCTTGTCAAAATCATAATAAATTCGATCCAAGTAAATCAAAAACTTTTATAAAAGAAGGTAATCCTTGGTCTATACAATATGACAGTGGCTTTGCCTCTGGTATTACCGGAATAGATAATATTAAAATTGGATGCTTTACTGCTGATAAACAAATTTTTGGCCTTGCAAATGATGTACCCGACGTTATTGAATTCCTTGAATTTGATGGAATTTTAGGTCTAGGTTTTGACAGTTTGAACACCATTGATAATGGCTCTCCAACTTTAATCTCTACTTTGATTCAACAAATGAAAATTAGACCAATTTTTAGTTTTCATTTTCAACATGCTTCAAGTCCCGAAGATCGAGGAATTTTTGTTTTGGGTGGTATTGATAATCAAAGATCGCGTATGCTTCGCAGGCAACTCTTACGATTGATCTTACTGCAGCATTCATACCTGAAGAATCACCACCACTTGTCAATAAACCTATTCTCTT